CGTAATACCGTACTTGTAGTGATTGAGGTTTAATGGGAAATAAATATATTTTATGTTCAAATAAAAATATGTTTACATTTCAGTGTATGGAATGAACATTTACTACAATGCGTGTTGAATATCGTAGACGAACACGCAGATATGATAAAAACATTTGAGAAAGATTTCAAACAAGGAATTATGAAAGGTTTTGTCTTCAAGTTCTTTCATGCCGTGTTTTTAGAACGATATGGAACTTTGAGCACGGGACAAATAGGACTGGGACCAAGTGTACCAGCGAGGGGAACTCAAAAATGGCAGGTGTGTTGAAGCTGTAATTTATGTCATTCTGTTTGTTACCCGGAACTGTAACGTCATTAATTCATTTAGTGAATAGTCGTGTAATAATTCCACCACTGCATTTTATTGTTAATTTGTATACATATGCATTAGAAAAACAAAAACAAAACGATTTGATTGTGAAGGGCCATATAGTGCGTGTTCCTGATTCCGTAAACATATCCCCGGATATGACATCATAACAATATTATAGTCTATACGGTAACTGTTGTGATACTGAGTACAAATACAATTTTGACAATTTATCATGAATGGTTTCCGATGAGGCAAGCTTTACTGAGATTCTACTTTGCTTTTATTCCCAGCGACATATTGACAAAAGCGTTGGACTTTCATGCCATCATACATCGTCAATTCAACAAACAACTGGGGAGGCGCTCTTTATTGATGATATCATACCACGTAAAGGTAAACTGCGTCGTTGATTCCCATAACTAAATTTGCTATATTATAGTGATCAATGAAGAAACACATTTGTTTGCCAAAATCTGCAAATAACGTCATTTCGGCATATATATTGGTCAATTTGTTTAAAACAAATCCTAAAGTGTGTGCTTTAATATACGGCAACGTGTATGCGGTCAAACTGAACAATTTATACGATTTATACCGGTATGCAATCAACTACATTAACATAACGTACTGTGTTACAATGTATCATTTTCTTTTCAAGACGAACTCTTCGTGTCGCTAGTGACGAGTACACGAGCACATGCAAAAATAAAGTAAGTTTTCATACTTCTATAATATTTGTTAGATCTATAAATTTCTATTTGATGATTGCATTAGTTTAAATTAGTTATTATATTATTGTAAATACGCTGCATTGGGACTATGATTTAAATATAGATACATAGATTACAAAGAAGCCCTCAAACTCACTGGAGTAAAGTATTATATCGATGCTGATGACGTGCCTGCCAGGAATGCTATCGGCGCAAACAGTGCAGAAGAAGTTTTATTTGCTCGCGATAAGGTTCGTTAACAAGCATATCATAAGTGATTATTTAATCTCTTCTGTGCAAAAATCTTTTGTTTTTTTAACAAAAGACATTTATTATGTGACACATACTACAATTAAATACACATGGTCATGTTGAATCAATTGAACTCAAGAGCAGTCATTATAACAGTTTGTTTGTTTGTTTCAATTGTTATATCACAATGTGTATTTAGGTGACTCATTGTGGACAGATAATTGGAGCCATCATTGCAGAAAATAGAGAAATTGCAAGACATGCTGCTAAACGAGTTGTTGTGGAATATGAGGATCTCAAACCTATATTAACAATTGAGGTAAGAATCTGTGTTGTTTAACTGATCCGTAAGCAGGTTCTGAAAGCTATTATTTTTTAGGGTGACGCCCATATTTGTTGATACCATATATGATTCCCATTGACGATCACATTTCATCACATATATTTTTTATTAGCATTATAAATAAAATTTCTGAAAATTATATTTATTTCAAAATAATTTTTGGATCGTTTTAAAGAAAAATTAAATTCCATTGACATAAATAAATAAATATAAAGCGTTTACATAACCAATCGATTTATGTCATTCATTACATATTGTATGGTGAAATGGCAATGCAACAATGGATAAAGTTATATAAAACAAATATATGTACAAACTAAATTTGGTTGATTTTAACTCATATTTTCACATGTTCAATATATGATATCTTCAAATGTACATGATAACGAAAACTGTATATGTATTTGAAAAAAGTACAAACAAATAGGAAACTGGGTTCACATTAATTATTTTGAAAGTGTTGTCCTTTAATATTGCGGAGGGAGTTTATGTTGAGCATTTGTTTACTCTACTTCAACTGCGACAGTATAGAAGTAAAGCAACCCAAAATATACTTATTTCTAAATAAGATTTACAAATCCAAGACTAAGGAAAATGACCAATAATCAATTAGTGGAATTAAGAATGAAGTTACAAGTAGCCTCAGAGCAGTTAGAACTACTCCACCTATAGAACTATTCGTTAGTCGTCTTCACCCAAGTACTACTAACGAAGATATGATGTATTTTATGCGATCCCTGGGGATTAATGACGTGAAAGTCACCATGCTTAAAACAAAATTTGATACGTACGCCTCGTGCAAGCTGACAATAGGTTCTGCCACTAGCAACATTTTGTTAGAGGCAGATAACTGGCCTAATGGCATATTGATTCGAAAATATTATCCATTGAAAAATCAAAAATCAACATGAAGCTGAGAATAAATGGAGTTAAATCCTCAATTCAATCGGTAAAGGATAATTGTGAACAAAGTGATGTTTGTTTATTGCCGGAGCATTGGCTCACAAAATCAGAACTTTGTATGTTATCAAATGTTAGTGAAGATTTTAATGCAATGGGTAAAACTGCTATGAATGAAGAGTGTGACATAAGACTTGGTCGGCCCTAAAGTGGAGTTGCGATATTATGGCGAAAAAATTTGGGCAATGTCAAAATTAAACGTTATAGTGATAGCAGACTTATTGGTCTGAAAATTTCAGATAGAAAATTAACAATTGTCAACATAAATATGTTTGGTTTAATAATGTTTGGCGTTGAGTAGAAAAAAATGTACTACCTAATATAAAAACGATTGTGCACATACTATACAAAATATCATTTGTTCAATATTAATTAAACCCTTTAATATGAAGCGTGTGGACAACCAAACATAAAGGTTTCATATTTGTATTTTACTCGATTTGATTATTGCAAATTCATCAAATTTATTTTAGGATGCTATTGAAGCCGAATCTTACTTTGATATGTTAAAACTTGTTGACGGCGATGTCAGTAAAGGTTTTACATCATGTGATCACATCATTGAAGGTGAAGTGATGCTGGGCGGCCAGGAACATTATTACCTGGAAACACACATATCTCAAGTTATCCCGGATAATGGTGATCAGACAATGGTGGTGCTATCATCAACACAAAACCCATCTAGTGTACAAGTATGAACCTCAGTGAAAATACAACCATTTATAGATCTTAAGATTTTAATGTTGAAATCATTATAAAACAACTCTTGTTCTGCCACGATATTATTTTCTATTCAAATATTATCTTTTTTTATTGTTGGAATTATTGTTTTCTTGGGTAATACAAATAACAATTAAAATGCATTTGGTGTATGTGGTATCGTCAGTAATAAATGCACTTTGTTGCAGAGTTCTGTTGCCGACGTTCTCGGTTTCCACTGTAACAAAATAATAACTAAACTGACGAGAATTGGCGGTGGATTTGGTGGGAAAGAAACAAGATCAGACATGTTTGCTTGTATATGTGCTGTTGCAGCTCACAGGTAATTTGTTGAACGTAATACAAAGAAATGGAAGACCGTACATACATAAGGATTAGGTTAATTATTGGCGATGTACTACGTAATAAGGTCAGCCTTTTACACTTACGTGAGAAGCTGCTTAAATGCGCATTGTAACAATTTAGTATGGTGAAATGTAGTATGGCCAGAGATTTAAAAACTTGGTGAATGTAACACTGATATCAAGATAATGTATATACTCATATTGCGATGGACTGTACTTCAAGGTACTGGTCAAAAAATGCAGCCATATCAAATGTTTTATTGTGATACTTTTGTTTTGTTGTACTAGAATCTAGGTTAAATGTGATTTTGTTTGTTCAGTGGTACTGGAATATTTAAAAGATCTGTTGATACGCTTGTTTGCAGGGCTAAACAACCAATGCGATTAGTTTTAGAACGCGAAGACGATATGAAGATTAGCGGTGGTAGACACCCGTATCTCGCCAGATACAAAGTTGGTTGTACTAAGAATGGAAAACTATTAGCATTAGATGTTCAACTTTATTCTAATGGTGGACATTCTCTTGACATGACGCCGTATGTAAGTACAACGCCACTTCACTTAAAATTGAATACAAATTAAGTTTTGGCCCGTAGCAAGTACTTTGTCCTTTAACCGTTCCCAAGTCCCCGTGTAAATACCAATACAGAAGCTTATGTGTGACATTACTTGAAAGAACAGTATTGCTATCGCTTAACTATATACTGATTGTGTTATAACGATCAGACAATGGGAATTGTCTTCTCTTCAACTAGGTAATGCAATATGCGTTATTGGCTATTCCAAACTGCTATATTATTCCCAATGTACGACTACAAGGATTTATGTGTAAGACGAATCTGCCATCAAATACATCTATGAGAGGATTTGGATGTCCACAGGCTGTTTTTATTACGGAACACATCGTGACTGATATTGCAATTAAATGTAACATATCACAGCAAAAGGTATGCCAATAATATTATTTATTGATGAAACCTCACACGTGTTGATTTTTGTTTTGGAAGTTTTTCTTTAGCTGGACCGTAAACCTTTTCTATTAATCACGCCGTTCTGTTTTAATTGTAAATAGGTTTCAAATTGTTGTAAATTGTTTTACAAAATTATATTATCTCGAGATAATGTTTTTTGTTTATCATTGTTCTTTTTTAAATGCTAATTGTTCATTTTTTTTCAGTTTCGAAAAACAAATTTTATTGGAAAAGACTTTGTTACACATTATGGTCAGATAGTTGAGAACTGTAACGCAAGAAGATGCTTTGACGAATGTGTCGAGAAAAGCAGATTTCATGTGAAACAGGATCAGATACAAACATTTAATAGGTGAATAACTGATTATTTTATGTTTTCTATAAATACCTACTGCCAGCAAAATTAAGTCTGATAATGTATTTTTTCATTCCAGGGAAAACAGATTTGTAAAGAAGGGAATATCTGTTACTCCAGTGATAATGGCAGTCGGGTTTCACTGTAAACTTTTGAATCAGGTATGCTGTCTTTTGCTGCTATATTTAATTCACATGTTTTTCTAAAATAATAAAAATTACGTACTATTGTTTACAAACTGATGCGTGAAACCAGGGTTTTTGATTTTGTAAATACCTCATAAATTGCGTTACAACAAGATTATTTATATTGTAAGACAAGACAATAGTACTGGAAATGTAATACATATAAAACAAGCAGCCTCTCGACTGAGATAGCTCCGCTGTTAGCAATGCACATTTCAATTAAAGAACAGAAGATATCATTAGAAAATGAACAATATGCATAGTATCAATGCAATGGGACTTGCTGTTTTCAACAAGAATTCAAAAATATCATTTTTCATCATAAATGATTGTGGTTTTTAACAAGAAGTCGAAAATATCACTTTTTACCAAAAATGATAAAAATATTCATCAAAATTAGAGAATTAAAGATATCATTACAAAATGAACAAATCTGAGAGAGGTCCACATGTAGTACCTATATATGTATTATCAAAGCAATTGGACTTGTGGTTTTTAACAAGAAGTTGAAAATATCACTTTTTACCAAAAATTACAAAAATATTCAACAAAATTAGAGAATTGAAGTTATGATCATGAAATGAACAAATCTAAGAGAGGTCTACCCAAGGTACATATACACCAAGTATCAAAGCATTCAGGCTTGTAGTTTTCAAGAAGAAGTCGAAAAAGTAAAACATTGACACGAACAACGGACGATGACGGACGACGACAGACAATCACTCATATGATAAGCTCCGCTCAACAAAGTCGAAAGCGGAGCTAACAAAATATCATGTTAAAGCTCCTGGCTTTAATACCTCTCAAAATAATGACACGAAAAAAAGCACAGACAAATGCAATGAATAAAGTCACTAAAGTAATGGATTGCTTAGGAAAGTGTGCATTGGTAATAACTCATCAACTCAGTTCCAGCAACACAACAATGAAGAAATACAGAAGTATTGCTTGCAGAGGAACGCCGTTATTCTAGAGGGCACCGCTGAAAGCAGATCGCAGAGCAGTTCATACAAGTCTCACAGAATGATGGTTGAAGCCTGTATCACTTGTCTCACAATATCGCAGTAGCTACACATAGGATATATAGTAGAAATGATGGTGTCACGTAGATCATACACATCCTTTGTTATTCAAATAACAGCACACTTGGTAGATTCCAAGTCTCCTTCCAAAGTTGTGAACACCCATTGTTATGTCAATCACAAGCACACCTGGTAGATTCCAACTGTCCTTCCAGAGTTGAAAACTTATGACAGCTATCACACGGCAATGCACACCGTTTCTTCCCATGATTCCATGTACACTTCTATTTGCAGGGTTTGTGGTAATATGCCAAAACACAGAATAAAGGATTCTGACAATTACCAATTCCATCTTTTGTTACATGCAGTTCAATTTGCTATTGACAATTTGTTTATAAAATATCAAAGTTAAACGTATATTATAAGGGGGGTAGGAATATGTTCTCTGTCTTTTTCAAAAGATCGGTAACTTGTACACCAACACTTCGGCAGAAACGAAAGAAATGCCCTGATTAAAACGATTTCGCCACGGATGAGATCAAAACCATAACTTCTACTACTGGTATTAGAAATCGGATAGACTTAGCTATCACTTTGGTTCTGACAGTTACACAGCTTGCATCCAAAAACAGTAAAACAATCTTGCCAGTGAAATTAAAGGAAAGTACAATAAATATGACCATACAATTTAAAAAAATACGCATTGCTTGTAAACAAGAGTGGTTTACAGTTGATGTTAACACAGGGATGTATAGAAAAGATATGATTCCCTCCCCAAACGCCCTCTATAGTATGATTTAATATCGCACAATAATTTGCAGAACCAAATATGGAGTTAACACATTTCTCCCCTATATAGCTCACATGATCACATTTATCTCTACATCCCCTGTAATACCAACAATTAGGTGTGTAATAAATATATCAACAGGTTAGCTCAATTTCTCTAATTGAAATTTCTCCAGCGCCATTTTATTTTCATTCGAACTTTCACAAAGTTGTGATGGTTTTTTTTCATGTTTCCATTCACATCGTAAACATACAGTTACTTCGTATTCTACCTACTTTATTGTATTGCGTTTCCTGACGAAATCTTAAAACGTTGAATTACCGATCTTTTGAAAGAGACAATCAGCTGTAGCATTAATTGCTTCTTTATCTCATCCATCTATATGCCACGGGGGTAACCGGTGAGAGTGAACACTCTTAACCATTGTCCATATTAGGACATTACATTATTATTATACATTATCAGACGATATATCATGATTCATTGAATCTGCATAAAAGTATACATGTTGAAATAAATGTGTAAAACTGTAAAGGAACTCAAATAAAGCAATTCATAAAAAGCATATACCGGTTTTGAACATGTTTTCCTGATGTGTCCGAGTCTGATAGTAAATCATAGCTAGAATCAACTTGTTCATTATAATGCATGCATGTGTTTTGTATATTATTTTAACAACGACGTCCAGTTCAATAGTTGTATATTCATCGTAATTGCAGGCTGGAGCTTTGGTTCAAGTATATAGAGATGGGTCAGTTCTGTTAACTCATGGCGGAGTTGAAATGGGTCAAGGGCTTTACATAAAAATGATTCAAATAGCAAGTACAGTTCTTGATATACCAATGGACTACATTCATACTGCAGATACCAGCACACAGACAGTTCCAAATACATCACCCACTGCAGCTAGTGTTGGAACTCATATCAATGGATGTGCTGTTAAGGTAAGGGCAGATTAATAACAATTTATAAAAAATACTGTTGACATTCATCAAAATGATGGTTCGTTCGTTCTACCAAATGACGTACTATAGAAGCGTACTTGTGTTAATAATACTTTTATTTTTTATAGAGAGCTTGTGAAAAAATAATAGAAAGATTAAGAATACTGAAGGAAAATGATCCCGAAGGAGACTGGAATAAATGGGTAAAAACTTCTAGATAAGCAAACTTGAATCTTGGTCTGTATTGCGTGTGTTTCATTTTTATCATCCATCCTTGACACTTTACATTATCTGCTATCAGAATTAGGTTTGGATTATCTAAATCCTGCTACTCATTAATTATGTACATTTTTTCCTCTTAATGACTCAAAATATATCAAGGAAATGCATTGTCATTGTAAAAAATAAGTGTTTTGATATTATTTAGCAGTTAAAAATATATAGAGAGAATATATCTTCTCACATATTATATAAATTGCCGCATTTGTCTTTTTTAAACTTGACTACGGTGTCGGGTGAGTCGTCAGATGGACTAGCGTGTCATTGTTTACAAACAAGCGTCTACCCATGAGCCTTTGCGGTTTTAGCGTGCGTTGTTATCGTCGCTTGGGACTCAATTTAAATGTTAAATGTTGTTTTGATTTCATGTTTCTTGTTCATGTGACTATAATGGAGCATGCTTGATTTATTTTGAAACATATCAATACAACCAAAAACAGATTGAGATGGTAGTATATGTGCATATCATATAATTGCTGGAAAACAATGTGTATATGCATAAGTGATAAAGTGAAATACGATATTATATTTTTCAGGTCATGGCAGCTTATATGGGCGGTGTTAGTTTATCCGCTACTGGATATTATATGTACAGTTTGTGTTTTTCATTCTAATCTAATGTGTTATGATTAAACTTGTCAGTCGTACAACGAGGTGGTTGGGCTATAGTTTGACGTGATATTAAAATTATATGCAAATAGTAATAACATGGTTAATAATAATAATGGTTAACAATAATCTACATACTTACATACTTTATTCCAGAGATGAAGATATTACATTGGATTT